TTCTCTATTTGTTTTCCTTTTCACATAAATGCATATAAAGAAAATTATTGAAAAAATGGCAATACAAAAATTGTTTAAATATGCAATTTCAACTCTAATTTAATAGTAAAGGTAAATTTAATGTTATAATAAAATTGATTGAAGATCACTTACCAAGTTCCGATAAATTTCTTTTTCTAAAAAGAAATCGAATTTGATATAGCTAAATTCTTCGACTAATCGTACACGCCCAAAGTAAAGTAAATCAGGAGTTTAGGAGAGGGGTTCAAGAAGAGAGGTCTGTTACTGTGGACGGCCAAAAGACAACTGCATCGAGGATCAACGGTTAAGCCTTCGTTGATTCCAAAATTCCTTTTTTGTACACGGAGCCTGCGCATTGTCTACTCATAACGTGGCTGATAAATTATGAATATTATCATTGTCGTACGATAAGACTTCCTACTGTGGAAAAATGCCTATTGAAAATTTCACGGCGCTTGCAATAAATATTGCTACAATGATAATTTGAACTCTATACTTATTATAAAGTACGTGTATATTATTAAAAAGTTCATTAATATCACAGTAATATTATACACTTTGTATTATTTTAGTTTGAATAAATGCTCTGCAAATCCCGAAACAGATATCATTTATTTTATTTATATTGTTTTAACTTTAATATTGAACATTTATACTTTGCTTCCAATCAATTGAGGCCACATTTCGCAGAGCTGCTACATCTAATTTTGTCTATAAATTATAGGACGCTCTGTCCAGTTTATGTAGAAAATGGATAGGAACGATATAATATTTCAAAATTACATAGGTGTCTCAAGAAACATTGATTATTCTTAATTAAAATTACATGTTCTAATGTTATTACCATATTGTACATAGTATTGTATATTTTATATGTCATAAAATAACCAATATAAAATATGAAATATGAAACAATATAATATAAAAAAAGTTAAATAACAACAAAATAATTTTCAGTTTCTGTATTACACATATATTTCAACAGATTTGATTTTGTTACCGTTTTTTTTTATAAAATTAAAGAATTTGTATGAATATCAGATGAGAATTTCACACAGTCTACATTTCTATTTAAAAACAGCGTCAAGTTGTATTTTTCGGTAGAAGGCAAACTTTCCGATGTAAGCGTTATTGAATTTGTTAGCATTCCCATCACATACTCCCACACAACACTCTACATTTAATTTTTACTTTGTCGTAATAATATTTAGCTTGTAAATATAATACATATTTAAATACATATTTAAAAAGCAAATAAAACTTTATACTGTTTGTTAAATATTTGGATATAAAAATAGAACACAATTATTTTGTTGCGTGTGTGTAATAAGTTTGATAATAATTAAATACAATTATGGTAATTCCATATAACATAATATTTTTTAAACTAAAGAAATATTTAATTAAACACTTCTTGGTAGAAAGTGCCATGCTAGATCCTGATGTCTAGCTAGTTCCCATCTTGACTGTCATGTTGTATCCCCATTTAATATAATAAATTTAGTTTAACGTGGCGCGAATCAGCGTCAAGCTATTCTAGCGAGGCGCTAGAAATATAAATATGTTAATAATGTCTGACTAGAAGTAGCCTGGCGCTAGTTTACTCCAGACTACTTCTAGTATAGTAAAATAAGAACTGCGTAAGAACTAGCTATCGCCACATCATGGCTAGATAGTACAATATCAGAACTAGCGTGCGCCACACCACAACTAGATAGCATTACACTAGAGCTAGCTAATGCCTGACTAGTCGATTAATGCCCGATCCCACCAACGTAGATTAACTTTAATCTCGGTTCAACTTACTCTTTACTTTTTTCTAATTCTTAGAACTAGAAAAAGATAAAGAGTAAGTTGAACCGAGATTAAAGTTAATCTACATTGGTGGAATCGGGCATATGTCGGGTATTAGACTGGAAGAATGTGATAATTTTATGTCTGGCGCTAGTCTGCATGCCATAGCTTCTTATCAGGCACTGGGGCAAGTAAGTTAGCGCCACTTTAGCATGGTGATTTTTCTACCAGGGACTGATTATGTTTTATTCAAATTCTTATATGCCTTACTGTTATTAAATTATTATACGTAGTATTTAAAAAATGGCCAATATAATGAAAAATATAAGAAATAAGAAATTAAATAGTTCATACTTTTATTTACATATATATTATTCACATATTTCATATACATATCCGTACATTTTATTTTATTATAGTCAATTATTGTAAAAATAAAATAAGTATATTATAAAGTTTTATAAGTATATTATAAAGACTTTACAAGGTCTTTTATTTAGTACTTCAATTTAAACTCAATATCCAACTATGACAAATATATATCATTATATGGGAAAACCTCAATAATGTTATGTTTTAAAGAATTTCATATTCTCGAATGAATTTAAAACATTTTTCACTGTTAAGGTACATAGAGTATTATTGTTTGCATGTTTTCATGCAATCTTCAAATTTTTTGAAATTATTTTGATTTCCTCCGCAGCCTTCGTACCTGAAACGATTACACTCGTTCGATGATGGCGAAAAATAAAATCTCCACTGAGATTTTAATAACGCTCCCATTTTGTTCGTGTAGCAAGGACCATGGTCATACTCAAGATCACACACTGTAAAAAAAATATATATTGATCAAGAACTTAAATCATAACGCATTCATTCAACTATAAAAAATACATATCAATTTATGTACAATATCTATTCTATCAATCCATTATTGATAAAATTAATCATTATCTAACATTTTATCATTGGTAAAATTAAACTGACAACTTCAAATTTTTGCAGTTGATGGCAATTTATGATAACAAAATATATATATTAAATAATTATTAACAATTTGAGTTTTTTAAATAATATAAAAACTAATAATAGCAAATATAATAAAAAAATACTGTGCGTGTTCAACGTAAAAGAAATAAATCACTTACATTTAGGTCGCAAAGAAAGAGGCGAAGATGAGTTTGGACTAGATAGGTATCCCATGCTAAATATGTTAAAGACGACAAGTATGAATAAAAAGTTTATTTTGGAACCCATCATCTTGTGTATGGTTTTGATTGAACTTCCAGCAGTTACGATCAATATAATGTCTCCTTCTCTGAAAATTTTATTAATAATTACTATACGTACAAATCTAAAGTTATATAAATTCAATTTCATAACATTATAAATAAAAAAAAATTAATGTTCGAAGAAGTAAATTATAAAATTTAATCTAATTTATATACATAAATTTATATATTATTTGTTTTAATAAATAACATGATTTATCAGCTGTTTGCAATAAGTTTGAATTGGTAAATTAGCATTGTTTTTATTTATCACATGCATACATATTGCAAAAGAGAAATATAGCTCTATAAAGGAAATAAGAATTACAATGTAAAATATTAATGATTATTGCTTCAATACGTTTATTACGCAAAAAGGTGCCGCAAATATGTGTTTATTAGTCTTATTCGCTCGAATAAAATTCGAACGTTTCGCATTATTTTGTCCCGTTTGGTACGATTATAATGTAAGTTAATCGTAATCTGAACAATTTTTGCGTTATAATTACGATGCGTGTATGAGTATCAAACACAGCACTTTGACGAAAGGAATTGTTAAGGCATAAGATTTGCTTATAAAAGAGCAAAATTTAAATTATCCATATTAAATCCAACCTTGCTAGATATATATAATATATAATATATATTAAAATAATATATAATAGTACATATATAATAATAATATATAGTAATTTATAATATATATTAAAGCAAATTTTCTCTATATCATCTGTTTTCCTTTTTACATAAATACATATAAAGAAAAATTAAAAATTTAGCACTAACATCCTGCAACGGCTCTTATCGCCATTTTCATTATTTAACATATAAAGAAAGTTATTGAAAAAATGGCAAAACAAAAATTGTTTAAATATGTAATTTTAACTCTAATTTAATAATAACAGTAAATTTAATGTTGTGATAAGTTTAATTAAAAATTACTTACCAAGCTCTGATAGATTTCTTTTCTTAAAAAGAATGGAGAATGGAATGGAATTTGCTAAATTTCTCGCCTAATTGTACATGCCTAAGTAAATCACGAGTTCAAGAGACATCTGCTTCTGTAGTCGGCCAAAAGACAACAGCATCGAGGATCGCGATCGATCCTTCGTTGATTCCGAAATCCCCTTTCAGTAAACAGAGCCTGCGCATTGTTTGCTAATAACGTGGCTGATAAATTGCGAATATCATCATTGTCGTATACCGTGCAGAAAGACTTTCTATTGCGGAAAGGACGCCTATTGAAAATATTACGGCACTGGCAATAAATATTAGTTACTATGATAATCTGAACTGTACACTCATCTCAAAGTACGTGCATATTATTTAAAATTTCAATAATACTGCAATAATGTTATACATTTCGTATTATTTTGTTTTAGAATAAAGTGCTTTGCAAATTTCGAAACAGATATCACTTATTTTATTTATATTGTTTTAGCTTTGAGATTGAACTTTATACTTTGCTTTCAATCAGTTGAGATCAAATTTCGCAGAACTTCTACATCTAATTTTGTCTATAAATTATGAGACGCTCTGCTCAGTTTATGTAGAAAATGGATAGAAACGATATAATATTTTACAATTACATAGTATAAAAAAACATTGATTATGCTTAATTAAAATTACATGTTCTAATGTTATTAGATTATTGTACATAGTATTATATATTTAATATGTGGTAAAATAAACAATATAATAAAAAAATGTAAGTAAAAAAAACAATTTTTAGTTTCTGTATTACACACATATTTCGACAAACTTAATTTTGTTACCGTTAATTCTTATAAAATTAAAAAGTTTGTATGAATATCTGTGTGTGATGAGAATTTTATACAATCTTTCATTTCCATTTAAAAATCGCGTAAAGGTGTATTTTTTGGCAGAAGGCAAACTTTCCGGTATAAGCGTTATTGAATTCGTTAGCATTCTCATCACAATCTTTCACACAATATTCTACATTTATTTTTTATTTTGTTGTAATAATATTTAGCTTGAAAATAAATGCATGGACGCACGTTATAATTATAACCGCATCACTAAACAGCAAAAACGATACAATAAACGTCAAAGATGTAATCTAGATATAATAAAATTACATTACATAAACGACATTTATTAATTTTTATAAATAAAAATTTAAAAAGTTACAAATTTAATAACAGGAATAAAAGAAGTAATTAAGGAACAATTTTTTAGGGAAACAAATTGTAAAGAAAACAAGTGTCGCTGAGATTGCTAAGTTTACAGTGGTGATTATTTTCGCGTAATAACGTTATTAATATTATTATATTAAGTGGAGCAATTATGAATATCAAATAAGCAATTCTTCAAAGATATCAAAGCAGTGATTTTGGTGTTTTAATATAATTAATGTTATCTCAAATGCCAACTTATTACTGATGTACAATAAACCAAAAGACAATTCATCGATATATTGACACTGAACATTTGACGTCATAAAAATGTAATTTATTTAACATCAAGTTATTATAATATTTATCTACTCATAAATAATAAATAAAATAAGAAAATTTTAAATCAACTTACTAGAAATTTTAATTAAAATAAATTAAGACTGAAATTGTTTTCTAATTGCCTTACATATTTAAAAGCACATAAAAGTTTATACAATTTATTAAATATCAAATTATAAAAAAAACAACATTTATGTTACGTGTGTAATAGTTTTGATAATAATTAAATACAATTACGGTAATTCCATATAAGATGATATTTTTTAAACTAAAGAAATATTTAATTAAACACTGATTATATTTTATTTAAATTATTACATGCTTTACTGTTATTAAATTATTATATGTAGTATTTAAAAAATGGTCAATATAATGAAAATATTAAGGAATAATAAATTAAGTAGATTATTTTTTTATTTACATATATATTCCTACATATTTTATATACATATCCGTACATTTTATTTTATTAGAGTCAATTATTGTAAAAATAAAACACTTTTAGAAGTATTTTATAAAGACTTTACAAGGTCTTTCATTTAGTGCGTCAACGTAAACTCAATATTAAACTATGACAAATACATATCAATATATGGGAAAACCTCAATAATGTTATTTTCAAAGAATTTTATATTCTCGAATGGATTTAAAATATTCTTCACTGTTAAGGTATTTAGAGTATTATTCGCTGCATGTTTTCATGCAATCTTCATAAGTCATAAAACTATTGTGATTTCCTCCGCAGCCTCCATACCTGAAAGGATGACATTCTTTCAATTTTGTCGAAAACCAATATCTCCACTGAAATCCTTCTCGCATTATTATCTCATCCGTGAGGCAAGTACCAGAGTCATGAGGCATGTTACAATCTGTAAAAAAGATATACATTGTGCAAGAACATAAATCATAACACATGCATTAAACTATAAAAGATTCATATGAATTCATGTACAATAAAATATCTATGCCATCAATCTGTCATTGATAAAATTAATCATCATTTATCATTTTATCATTGATAAAATTAACCTGACAACTTCAAATTTTTGCAGTTTATGGCAATTATTTATGATAACTAAATATGTGCATTAAATAATTATTAACAATTTGAAGTTTCTAAATAATATGAAAAGTATTATAATAGCAAGTATAATAAATAATTACTGTGTGTGTTCAACGTAAAAGAAATAGAACACTTACATTTAGGTATCACTTTACGAGGCGGAGCTTCTTTCTTTTTTGAAGGACATAGGTATCCCATGCTAAACATGTGAAGGACAATAAGTATGAATAAGAAGTTTATTTTGAAACCCATCGTCTCGTGTGTTCTTCTGACGAAATTTCTAGCAGTTACAATCAATATAATATCTCTTTCTCTGAAAATTTTGTTATGAATAATTAGTATACATACCGATCCAAAATTATAAATATAAATCAATTAAGAAATTATAAATTAATTTTGATAACATCGAATATAAAAAAAAGATTAATATTCGAACAAGTAAATTATAAAATCTATATATATATAGTCTAATCTGTGTATATGAATTTATATTATTTATTTTAATAGACAACATAAATTATCAGGTATTTGCAATAAGTTTAAATTGTAAAATTAGCATTTTTTATTATTTATCACATGCATACATATAGCAAAAAAAATATAGCTATTTAGAGGAAATGAAAAAAACAATGTAAAATATTATTGATTATTCCTTCGATACGTTTACTACGCAAAAAGAAGCCGCAAATTTGTATCTATTTGTCTTATTTGGTCGAATGGAATTTACACGTTCCGCATTATTTTTTTTTGTTAAGAATAAAACATAAATTAATCGTAATCTGAACAATTTTTGCGTTATAGCTACAATGCGTGTATGAGTATTAAACACAGCACTTTAACGAAAGAAAGCGATAAAGCATAAGTTTTGCTTATAAAAGAGAAAAATTTAAATTTCCCATAAATTAAATCCAACTTTGCTAAATATATTATATATTAAAATGATTTCTCCCAATATCGTTTTTTTTTTTTCACAAAAATGCATATAAAGGTAGTTATTGTATAAATGGCGAAACAAGTATCGTTTAAATAATTTTAACTCTAATTAAATAGTAAAACTAAACTTAATGTTGTAATAAAATTGTTTGAAGGTCACTTACCAAGCTCTGATAGATTTCTTTTCTTAAGAAGAATAGAATTAGATATGATTAATTTCCTCGCCTAATCGTACGTGCCTAGGTAAATTGCGAGTTCAAGAGACGTCTGTTACTGTGATCGACCAAGAGACAACTGCATGGAAGATCGCGATCGATTCTTCGTCAATTCCGAAATTTCTTTTCCGTAACCGTACGCCGAGTTTTAATATTGTCTGCTGGTAACGTAGCTGATAAATTGCGAACATCATTGTTGTCGACTACCGTGTGGTAAGGCTTTAAAAGGACACCAAATAAAAATTTAACGGCACTCGCAATTAATATTTGTAATTATGATAATGTGAACCGTACTCTAATAAAATATATATATATGTTATTTAATATTTTATTAATATCGCAGTAATATTATACATTACGTATTATTTTATTTTTTAATAAAATGTTTTGCAAATTTCAAAAAAGATATCACTAATTTTATTTATATATTGTTTTAACTTCAAGATTGAACTTTATAGATTCCTTTCAACCAATTGAGACTATATTGCGCAGAACTTTTACATCTAATTTCATCAATAAATTATGGAAAGCTCCCACAGTTTATGTAGAAAACAGATAAAACAATGTAATATTTTAAAATTACATAGGTATCCCAAGAAACATTGACTATTCTTAATTAAAGTTACATATTCTGATGTTATTAAATTATTGTACATAGTATCATATATTTAATATGTCGTAAAATAAACAATATAATAAAAAAAGTTAAATAAAAACGAAAACAATTTTCAGTTTCTGTCACACATATGGTATATTTTAACGGATTTAATTTTGTTACCGTTAATTCTTAAAATTTAAAAATTTGTATGAATATCAGATGAGGATTTCATGCAGTCTTACATTCCTATTTGAAACCGCATGAAGGTGTATTTTTCTGCAAAAGGTAAGTTTACCGGTGTAAGCGTTATTGAATTCGTTAGCATTCCCATCACAATTTCTCACACAACATTCTACATTCATTTTTCACTTTGTCGTAATAATATTTCTCTTGAAAATAAATGCATGGGCCCACGTTATAAACATAACCGCACCACTAAGCTGTAAAAACGATACAATAAACACCCAATTAAGTATAATAAAATTGCATCACATAAACAACATTTATTAATTTTTATAAATAAAAACTTAAAAAGTTAAAAATTTAATAATAAAAATAAAAGAAACAATTGAGGAACAATTTTTCTAAAAAAACAGATTTTAAAGGAAACAAGGAGTGTAAATAGGATTGCTAAGAAAAGTGGTGACTGTTTTCGTGTAATAAAGTTATTAATATTAATTAATTAAGTGGAGCAATTATGAATATCAAAGGAGCAATTATTGAAAGATTTCTTGGTGTATGTTTCAATATAATTATTTTTATCCCAAATGCCAACTTATTACTGATGTACGATAGACCAGAGAACATTTGATCAATATATTGACACTGAACATTGGACGACATAAAAATGTAATTTATTTATCATCAAGTTATTATAATATTTATTTACTCCTAAATAATAAATAAAGTTAGGAGATTTTAATTCTACTTACTTAAAATTGTTTTCTAATTGCCTTACATATTTCAAAAGCACATAAAACTTTTTATAATCTGTTAAATATTTAAATATAAAAAAAAACACAATACTTTTGTTGCATGTGTGTAATAAATTGGATAATAATTAAGTACAATTGTGATAATTCCATATAAAATAATATTTTCTAAATCAAAAAAATATGTTATTAAACACTGATTATGTTTTATTCAAATAATTATATGCCTTAATGTTATTAAATTACTATAAGTAGTATTAAATGCACAATATAATGAAAAATATAAGTAATATTAAATAAACAAGTACTTTCCTTTATTTACATATATATATTCCTACATATTTCATACACATATCCGCACATTTCATTTTATTACAGTCAATTATCGTAAAAATTAAACACTTTTATAAGTATTTTATAAAGACTTCAGAAGGTCTTCCATTTAGTGCTTCAATTTAAACTCAATATCAAACTATTACGAATACATATCAATTCATAGGAAAACCTCAATATTGTTATGTTTTAAAAAATTTTATACTTTCGAATGGATTTAAAATATTTTGCATTGTTAAGGT